GGTATTCATTTTTTAATCTAAAAATTTATAGAATTATACTATCTCTAGGTACTCATTTAATTTATAAAACTGATTGTTCCAACTATTTTCATACTAGTTAAAATAGTGTCTTAATGTCAGCTAGTTGGTGGGGTTAATATGTTTACTCATTTGCTAAACAAAAATGTATTGTACAACTAGAGCAACAGGAGCTGTGCTCACAAGACAACGAGAGGTAGAGATGGACCGCTGGGTCCTGCCTTTGGGAAACAGCGACCTTGCCTAGCAGCAGGGCACCATTCACGTGATACTGAGTGTGAATATGGCCCCCTGGACTTGTGCGATTGCACTTTGGGGATCTGGGTAAACAGCCAGTGCAATGGGTTATGTAGTAAACATAGAGAGAAGAGAGTGGGAATATAGGAAAGGGAGCAATGAATTCTGCCCCAATCACAAATGTTTATGGGGGATTTAAAACTCTCTCATCTTTGAAAGCATATCCTTTTATGTATTGTGGAAGAAATGAGGGAGAACGTGCACATTCTTTTTAAGGCAAGACATTTCTTTCCAACTTTAGATAACAAAAGGTGTTTCGAAAACTGTTCTGAGGCTTACACAGACGTAGTTTTCCCTTTGACATGCCATGTCCATCCCAAACTCCACTGTCAGAACAATTCTTGCAACTTAGTGGATGTGGATTGTTCTACTGAAATTTTAGGTTTCACATGAACCTCTGTGTGTGTGTGCGTGTGTATGAGTGTGTGTGTGTATACAGTCATACACATTTCCAGGGACGGAAAGAAAGAACTGTTGAATTGGAACAAAAAAATTCTTTAAGTTCATAGATGCATAGTTGGTAGGAAAGTATTCAGGGAGTCTGAGCTCTTCATAGAATCATCGGGAAGATAAATGGAATCTCCTTTCTCATAAAGGCTTTTCTCCACAGGTGCATATTATCACATCACTGAGGCCAGGAGAGAAAAGCGATGCCAAGTGAGGATGAGGCTATAGCATTACTGTGAGGATACGGGGGAGAGAATTTACTGGCAAGTGCAGTAGGGTCGCAGCCATAGTGAAGGGCTCTATGGTAACGGTGATTATAGATGATTATCATGACGGGGGCTCCCTCAGAACTCTCAGAGGCCAGGAGTGGCTGAGCCACTGTCTGATCAAACAGTGTCTTCCGTCCGTCTGTAATCTGTTCTTATTCTTAGCTGGCTGGCATAACCTCTAGCCTCAATATTGGACTGGCTTCCTTCCTTTGTTGGAACGGCGAACACCATGGAAACCTGATACATTTGCTGCAGGCTGAGGGGGTCAGATAGCTCTAACCCAAGGCAGATGAAAGGCATCTGGATAATGCTTGACCACCAAGGAAGGTGACCTCAAGGAAAGCGCTCACATGGCTTGCATCCCCCCGCCGAAAGGGGAGAGCCTACAGCTTCTCGTTCTGTTTTCCTAGGCCCTGCCGAATATCTCTGCAAAGCACTTAACTTCTTGCATCCCTTTGCTTGAATGCCTTGCTGTTGTTCTCGCTAAGTAAACCAGCCATTCAGGAGCTCCGAGCGCCACAACGGAAAGCTTGCCTTCAATTTGTCTCACTCCTTTTGTGTGCGGACTGAACTGTGAACCTGGGCAGTCACTCACAGTGACAAGAGACGCACACGGACTCTCTCCAGCCCTTTCCTCCAGCGGCAGCCGGGGAGACTTTTACAACAAAGATGCCCTGAATTCAAGGCTTCTAAGGTCTGCAGGAGACACAGCAGATCTCCCCACTCTAGGTGCACAAAGCCCCAAGCTCAGCAGCAAACAGAAGCTGAATCACTCATCCCACTGTGTGAATTTTCATTTTCTATGGCCACTGGCACTTGCCTATAGCACATTTTGCACCTTGCAAAGATAACACAGCCCGGGGCTGCTGCTTCTTCTGTCTGTGTTTTTAGAATAGCCAGGTGTGAGAGCCTCATCAATGCGGGTCTTAGCTAGTCAACAGACCTGTCAAGTCACAACGACGGACAAGTATCAACGCGTCCTTTCTCTAGCTGCTTTCCCCGAACGTTAAGTTGAACCAAACGAAGCAGCCCTTTTTGTAGGTCAAGAAAGATCCAATCCGGAAAGAACAGTTTTTTATGGTTTATCTTAACAGAAAGGATCAATGAGAATTAGCATCTATGAAGTGGCTTCTGTGTCCCAGGCCCAAGGTGGGGCCCCTTTTAATTGTCATTCATGACACCACGTCAAGGTGCTAGTTATTACTCCCATTTTACAGATGAGACAATGCAGGTTCTGAGAGCTTAAAGAAACGGCCCACAGGCTCAGTGAGGACTGCTGAGATAGGAACCCACGCTTGTCTGGCTCCAAGGCCTGAGAACTTTCCACTCTGCCATGTGCAGATTTCACTTTGTAGAATCACTACTAAGGCACACAGGTGGTTCATTTGAATTAAAAAGGAATAATGGCAACTTTGCATGAGAAAACGATCAACTCACATATGATGTCATTCTACCTGTACTAAATGGCCTCCAGTGACTCTCTGCTTATGGTTACATACAAATTACACAAATTCTCAATATTCTGTGAATTTCTCTTTCTAGCTTTATCCCTTATTGCTTTCCTAGGTCACATCTTAGATGGCCTCATTTACATGGCGACCACTTTTCTACGCCATATTCTCTTCCTGAAATCATCTACCCAGTCTCTGCATATCAGCTGCAGAAATTTTGCCCATCCTTTGCGGCCCAATTTGAATGCCTCCTGGGCCCTGAAGTTTTCCTGGTTCCTCTAAAAGATGTGCATGCTTCCTCCTCCAAACTTCCACAGCCCCTGGGATCCCTGCTCTAGTACTTACTTCTGGGCCTGCAGCTGATAAGGCTATCTGGACACTACCCCCTAGAGCAGGGGACCAGGACAAACTTATCTGTAAAGAATCATACAGTAAATAGTTTACGCACTGTAGGCCATACAGTATCTGCGGCAACTATGCAACTCCACTGTTGTATTGCAAAAGCAGCCATAGACAATACCTGACTGTATGTGCATGGCTGTGTTTCAATAAAACTTTATTTATAAAAACTGGTGGCAAGCTGGATTTGGCCCCTCTGTGCCAACCTCTGTCCTAGTTCATTGGGTCTCCAGGGTTAGCAACTGTGTCTTCCTTGTGCCTATATCCCTGCTGTGTTGTACAATGTCACAGGTGGCGCTCCATAAATATTTGTGGAACTAATAGAATTTTAAATTGCTGGAATCAGAGATCCTTTTTTTTAAAAAAAGCTATTGTTGAGGCCCCGAGAACTTTGCAGATTCCTCTGGTCCTGCACTGCTGTCTGTGCATGCCGCTGAGCTGTCAGAACCTCTTGACCTGTGGCTGATTTTCCTGTAGGCTCAGGACCTTTCCCTGAAGCTTCAAAGGCAGGCTGACTTCTAAGGAGCCATAAAACACATTTTGTCAACCCCTTGTCCTCAAACTTGGGAAAACATCAGTGAAGTTTACAGTTGTGGAAAATCACCTTAGGCTGAGATTCTGTTAATGCAACAAAGGGAGCGATTTCTGACTCAAAAGAAAAGAGAAAGGTGGGTCCCAGGGCATGGAAGAAGCCCGCAAAAACCTTTTTCTCTCACTGAACCAGCTGGTTACTAAATTTGCAAGTGATTGGTAATGGAGAGCCACTCACCACTCATGGGCTTCATTCATGAATTTAGTTGCATAGCTATATGTAGGGTAGGTTTTCAGAGGCTTGTATATCCATCCACAGGGTTGATTCCAAAGCACAATGGCTCATCCAGACAGTATTCCCCAGATGCTGGGGCAACCTTCTTTGTCAACAATATTTTATGCATCAAAACACTTTCACCCTCCAAGTTCCTGGGCATGCTCAGTAGGACACCCACCCTGGCTTCATACGTATTGTCAGTTCTTGTCTTTCTTTCTTTCTAAGTCACTTGATACAATAGAGAGGATCTAAGTACCACTGACCAGGAGCCAGCAGTTTATTAGTTATAATAAGATAAAAAATAAGAATAAAAAGAAAAAGTTTTCCAGGGATATGTCTTGACCAGCAACTAGAATGCCTTCCGTAGTTACTTACCTCTTTTCGTAAGGGAGTACATTTAATCTTTTTTTTTGTTTTTTTTTTTCTGTCTGGGATCATAGATAGAAAATCAGTGTGGATGAAAAGGGATGATATTTAAGCACAAAGAGATGAAGAATGTATTCTGGAGGTTTAGTGACGAAAGAAACACACCAGTACCCTGTTCTCTACCTCTCTGGTGGTCAAACTTTCAGCAGACACAGAGCCAGCTGCTCTGCATAGAGGACTGTGCATTATTGCAATGGATAAGAAGAAAGTGTGCGGACAGAGTGAAAATCAAAATCACGTCCTTTGATGCCTAAGCATCGACTTTGGCTAGTGAGAATGATAGGCACATTACAGCTCTCTGCTCTCTGTCCTGTACCTGTATGCCATCAGCCCTCTACTCTGTGCCTCCCCACCCACTCCTCTTAAAAAGAAACATCAGGTTATTTGAAAGCCTGACCTGAGAAGGCCTCTCGGGCAAGCCCACTCCAGCCGCCTCTGTAGCAATGCTAATTGCACATCTGCGGCAAAGCTGCAACAGTCCATGCCCAGGAAATCCACCCAGGTTTTTATAACCAGACCAGGGGTTGCCACCCAGCTGCTATGAGAAACACACCGCTTGATCATTATTATTATTAGATCACGTTTGTGAATATCATTTAAGACAACTGAAGGAAACCCTTGATCAAAATCGCCCCCCATTCACCCCGCATGCTTCTCTTTCTTTTTGTTTAGCCGCTTACAAATGTTGATGTGATTCCTAATCAAAGCACCTCGACAAGCCCTTGAGCTCAGGGTCTTCCTGTTCCGCGGTCTCGGGGCAGAAGCCGGTGTTCCTGTCTCGTGGAGATGCCGCGTGGAAGGAAACGGGGTGCAGGGGAGGAGCGAGATGGGGAGCAAAGGAAGGGCCCGCGTTCGGCAGGTCCTGGAGCTGAGGTTTTTACTCACATGTGTTGGGAAGCATTGGGGTACAGTTTTGAAAACTGTGGGGCTGAGTCCTCGGGGCCGTGGGGTGCCGCGTGGCTGATCACCATCATAATGGGCCTATGGGGATACATTCTCTTAGACATTTTGAAGTAATTAATGCTCTCGTTAGTGATTAAGTCTGTGAAGTAGTCCTGAAACATATATTTGACACAAAACAAAAATTACAAAAGGTGACATTCATCAGATCACATTTGAACACCGCTTTCCCAGTAATGGAAACTTCCCGAAGGGGCAAAACATCTTCCGGAGACAGAGAAAATCAGCTGCCAGTTACCTTCCGGGTTTGCTAAAGTGGTAACGTGCACAAACCTTTTTTTAAAAAATAATGTGCAATTTAGGAATTAACCAAAAAAAAAAAAAAAAAAGGGTCAAGTCCCCGTTTGCCCAAGATAATGATCAGATCTGGCAATACAAATGCTCCAGCACATGAAACACCGGATACGTATTTCATTCTCAGGTTTCGCTGATGTAATTCTTTGACAAAAAAAAAATTTAATTACTTCAAGGGCAGGAAACACCCACGCCCACTACAAATTCACAGTTGCAGAACACACACACCCAGACACACACAGGCATACACACACATGCATAAATGCACAAACAAAAGATCTTTTCCTTAAATTAAAAAATTCACCTGTGAGAATTACATAATAAGTGCTAATGAAAGTCGTGGCCAAAATCTGGGCACCCAGGGAAAAGTGGCAACATTTTATCAGTTAATTTATTTGAAACACTCAGTATGGGGAGCAGTTGAATTCCTGCAGATTATACTGTTAATTGCACAACTAAAATTACCCAGCTGTTGGGATTAGAGCCTGACTTGTTAATAAAGTAACTTAAACCGGCAGTCCCAGGGGCTGATGCAAAAGCAATAAGGGGAAGAGGGGGAAGAAATGGAATAAAAAAGAAAAAATGAAAACTTAAAACACCTGCTTCCTCTAAGTGTGTATCACTGGCCTGGAACTCCAGTATAAAGTTTATTCAGAAAGTGTCTAGGCAACGTGCACCGTCAGAGGCTTCTAGGCATGACTAATCACATGTAGATTCAAGGACCAGAACAGCTGCAAAAGCAGTGCCCAAGGGACCAAATCTGTGTCACATGTCATTGTTAGGACAAGTCCACAGGCTAACACCTTCATCCATGGGAGTGTCTGTTTTATTCCTTTCCTCCCTAAAAAAAGATATATATTCTTTTTGACACAGTTGTCTTTGACAATCAGCTGTGATAATGGGCAAGTTATGCTGATTTAGTCTTTGGAAGGAATCTTGATTACTTTGCTCTCCTTAGGACAACAAGGAAAGAAAGGTTAATAGCTTGAACAGAAGCATGACAAGCATCCCCACAAGATAAAAAATGAGCAGTGACAATTAGTGCACTTGGTAGGACAGTGCTCAAATCTGCCTCCAAGGTCCCTGCCAGCTCTCAACTTTGATGAGTTTGGAAACCTATTAGCAATGTTTGTGAGTTGCTAATATGCATTCATTTGCATGCGTTGTTTTCTGAAGGGTATGAAAGAGTGAGACATACACCCTCACCCCAAGTCCCCTGTGCTCAAATCAGGCCAAGTGGAAAGACAGCAATGTGCCAAAGTTAGATCAAGTCTCCTCTTTCTGACTTCTACCAATAGCTGTTTCATAGTGACCTGTGCTAGATAGAGCAGATTCTCGGCTTCTTTTAGATAAATGAGGAAGAGATGGATATGGCTAAGAGGGAAGAAGCCATTTTAGGCTAATTAGTGGCTAAATTCAAAGATATTCTCCCCTCCACTCTTGAGATCTGGAAATAGTTTTAAGTTGGCAATCACAAAACCTGTGTGACTTTTACAAAGTCTAATCTGGAATCCATTTTTTAGAGAACCATGGGACATGTCCATTTCATTTTCTATGACCTGATTTGGAAATCCTAGGATTGAATTGTGGGGCATGTCCCTTTCAGTTTCTATGAACTGATTTGGAAATCCTAGGATTGACAGCCTTAACAGACTTTTGTGGACTCTAGCTGCCATGGGGCAGGTGTCCTTGTCAATATCAAAGTGTGATCGGACAGGAGTAAAAGCAAAGAATGTGGTTTCTCAACTTTTGATTATTGCACTTGTCTGCTGTTATTCTTACATCTAAATTGGAAGCCACAGACAGAATATACTTTCACCCCAGTGAAAAGCAAAACAGCATGAGATGAACATATGATTATGTGGATAAGTCCTCTAGAGGAGGAAAAACCTAAAAATTATCCCAAGACAGAGTGGAGGCATCTATGATTTTTCTGATAATACTTTCATCAAAGGCTGATTGCCTTTCATCCTAATGGGGGAAAAAATCGCTATTCAAAGTCAGTGCTCCTTGAGAGCCTTTTCCTTGCCTGGAGTTTAAAATTACCTTAAAATTTCTCATTCTAATACTGTGAGAATGTAGAAAGCCAATCTAGTGTATGGGCTAACACACTGAAAATGGCTTTCCCCCATTATGCACAAAGTAAATTGATGCAGTGTAAAAGTGCCTGAAAATTACCTTCGCATAATCAAATCCATGCTTTTCTTTGATGCCATTGCGACAAACAGTGTAATTATAGAAACGAGAATTCTTGATTAATCCAAGCCATTCTCGCCACCCAGGAGGGATGTAGCTGCCATTATATTCATTGAGGTATTTTCCAAAAAAGGCTGCAATGGGAAAAAAGGATTATTTTCTCACATGAAGTGATTAAGCATAACTAAATGCATCAACATGAAATTATGACTTGAAAAAAAGGCAGTGAAACAAAAGTTAACCTGGTAACAGTGGATGCCAGAATAACATTCATGTAATACTTTGATCCTTTAGCAAGGTGACACATATACATTTTCCTTTTGAATAAATAAAAGTAGTGCCCAAGTACATGGATTATAGTTCAGTAAAATCGCCATCATGATCATGATACTCTGAGTGCAAGTGATAAAAGCAGAATGTACCTTTTTGTTAAGTTGATGGAACAATCAGAGAAGTACCAGTATGAAATTTGGAATACTGAAAGTTGTCTTTGTGATAAAATAAGTTTTCTAACTGTTTGAGAGTTGTGAATTTCAAAAACGCTATTGAAAAACTTGTCTTTGTTTTTGCCTATCAGGACAGTACACATTTTCCCAGCCAAGGAACCATAGTAAACTCCGTTTATATGGCACGTGGTCAGGGTTTTTATGTCACATGTATTTTATGTCATCGGTGTTTGCATTATGTGTATTTTGCGAATGTGTTCATTACTGATAATCAAAAATTCTAGCAACATGGAGTTACAACCTAGACGACTTTCATAGAATTACAGTAAAATAGAGGTATGTGTGCTACAAAAACTCCACTGCTCGTTGAAAAGGCCACTGGAAGGACTTCACATTTGTAACTTTGGCATGGTCACACCCAAGAAAGGCCACTGTGCAACAGTGGGGTCAGAGCTCTGGGATCTGTCCCTGTTTCCTGATTACTTGATACCCCTCATGGGGGCCCACTGTCTCCTGACCGGCTTTCCTATGCAGGCTCCAGGGTCTTTCCATTCTCACTGCCAGCTTCCTGAAGACCAGCTCGGGTCACATCACCTTCTCATGATCTTGGATGGCCCCCCCCTCGCCTGCAGAATCACATTGAGTTTGACACCTTGCCATCCAAGCCCTTCCTTGCCTCTGGAAAAACATCCCTCTCTTTCCAACCCCATCTTGCACGTCTCTGTGAATCGTCCCTCTCTCCAGTCAACGTGTTGCCTCTACTTTTTCTGGTTTTTCCACCTCTCCACCTTTGCCTGTGCTACTCTCTCTGCCACCCTCTGTATGAATCAGCCCAGAGCAGAAGCCTTTTCAATTCCAGTCTTTGACCCGATCCCACAGCACTTTATTTCTGTGGCTCTGAAGCTGTCTTCCCTCTCTTCCTGGTGGTGTAGTTATGTTCATGTAGAAGCCTAATCGCCCTTAAACTGTAAGGGTTTTGAGGGCAAACACTGCTTTGACCTCATCTGTGGACCTCCCTTCCCTCATCCTTGCATGTAGTCTAGGGGCTGCATGAATTTTTGTTTCTTGAACTGAGCTTCATGGAGCCCCATGTCTTCTGGGGATGGTACCTGTTCTGGACTTGTTAAATGTTGTGTTTTCAATTGAGCTATGATTTTTTTTTTAAAAAGCTGATTTGGTCTAAATATTTTCATAGAGGAGAGCTTCAGAGTTAGAAAAGTTGACACTTCCCATTGGATTTACTTTCTTTGAAGGGCTGACTCAAGTCTGAGAAACACAGCAATGTTTATCTGTTGAATGAATATTTATATGTTGAATCTGCAAATGAGTAAATCAATCAGGTGGTCAATTAGCCAAACACCCACTGCTTGAGGATTCTGCCAGGGTCCCTGAGCAGATGGATGGGTGTGGGACAAAATGTCAGAGGGTCTCATGTCAGCTATGACTCAGGGTTTCCCTCTGAGCTGGCTCCGAGCAGTAGAAATTCTTCTAATGAGGGGTTCTTGTCTTCAGAGACTAACCACCTTTTCACATCGAACCACAAGATGATTTTCCTTTCCGACAAAAGGCAACGTGATTTAAGAGTCACAGGCGGTGGACCAAAGCCACACCCCACCAGCATGACTTCAGAACGGGACAGTTTCCAGAAGCCTTTCACTTAATAACCTCAAGCCCAGCTCTTTCCCCTGGCCTGCTCCTCTCCCCAGGGGCTTTTTCCCACTTTTCTCTCTTTTTGTAAAAGATCATAGTGGTTTGCAATATAAAACCTGGAGCCAGCTTGCCTGGGTTCAAATCCTGGCTCTGTTGTTTGTTAGCTATACTGCCGGAGGCAAGTTACTTAACCTCTGTCTACCTCCAATTCCCCTTCTGTCAAAACATGAAGATGATAACAGTAATAGTGGTACGATCGTTGTGAGGACTAAAAAGAATGAATACATATGTAAAGCACTAAAACAGCACCTGGCACATAACGAGGGCTTATTAAATGTTGCCACTGCCAGTATTATGATGACCACGGCTATGATCATTAGCCTTTCAATGATCTGTGCTCTGATTTTAAATGATTTACCCTCCTGCAATGCAAGGAAATCCTGTTCTAGAGTTCTGCACTTGTGCATCTGAAAACATTGCTTGAGAGGTTACATAGTTTTCTTCCCCAACCTGATCTACTTTGTAGCAACAAATTTTCTCCCAACTGGCTGACATTTTCCTGCTTTATTAGTTTTTAGATTTTTCTTTTTTCCTGCTACTTTCAGTTTTGTTCTCTCTCTCTCTCTCTTTTTTTTTTTTTCTCTCAGGGAAGCCATAACAAGTCATTCCTGCCCTTCCCTCATTGTTTTACCCGTTAGATTATTTAGGACTGTTTTCTACCCATTGCCATGGCTATTGCCCTTTCTCTTAATCCTCCCCTTATAAACTATTCCTTGAAGTCTCTTAATAGGCCTTGTTATGTGCTTTAGAACTCCCTCCAGGTTTTCCGTGTCTTTGTGTTAATGGGGTGTAAAAAATGTATTCAATATTCCAGATGTTGCCTCACCCGTCACACTGGTTCCAAGAGAGACCGGGGACCTCGTGCGTCATGAGGCAGCACCCAGTGTTGTCAGCTTCAAGTTACTTGGCCTTTCTTGTTGCCTCCTAAGATCGAGGCTCATTTGTAATCACCCCTGGCGTCTTTCGACATTACGCTTCCTGGCAGTGCTCTGCAACTGATTATCTGGGCTTCTAATTATTTTCCTCCAGATGTATTAAATCTCTTTCTCCCTCCCTAAGATGAACAATATTTTCTCGCCTGTATTGCCATTATATTGGGTGTGGTTTGAAGTTTTTCTATCCTTTGGCACTGGCAATTCAACCCAACTTAACTACTGTCTGAATATGTCACTAACGCACCACCTACCCCTCCTTCTGTATCATTCTTTTCTCTGGGCCATTAAACACTTCCCTTCACAGCTGTTTAAGAAGGTGGCAGGGGTTGTTGGGTGACAGGGAGAAAGGTCAGGAAGACCTGATTATAATGATTGTTGACTTGAGGCCATCTACTTCTGTCCGGGACTACCTGTTACATAATACTTAGAAAAATTCCCTTGAGCCGTTTGAGGCAAAAGCATTTATTTTTAGGTCGGCAAGAGTACCCACATAGACAAAAGATTTCTGATGCTGTAGGGAAGTCAAATCTTAGTGAATGTAACAAATGATATACGAATTGAGCTTTTACTCCAAGTATTATCAGATTTGGGGTGGCAGGACTTCACTGGTAGTAACTAAAAATTTACATAATTTTGAACCAAGTTAAAATTATGATCTACTCTTAGGTGACCTCGTACACATGAGTCTGGCTTCCCCAACTAGATTGTAAGTGTAGCAAAGACAGGAATCTTACTTTATATCTCTTCGTACACCAATGTCTAGTTTAGTTCTAAGCATAGTGTGGCTCAATAAATGGCATACTGTGGTATGCTATATCTTATGTTTGTATACTTATCAAAAATCGATAATACCACAATTCATAAAAATAAGAATGTTACTTTGTCTTACTTTTAGTGAACTCTACATTTTAAAACATCACATATTAGAGAATAAATATACTTGCTATAAGTAACATAAATAAACTTTGTAATGTAAAAAGACACGAAACTAGAAAATTGATGAATTTGTCTTCATTGTTTTGTTACAAAAAGAATTCTCTCCAAAAATTTTTATTGCAGGTCCTCTATTAAATACTGGCCCTTTCACCGCAGTGGTATGAAGAGGAGTTAGTGTGACTAAAATTTAATTCACATGTGATTTTACATAACCTGTATTATGATTATAATTTGAGCACTACCATTTTTAAAGGAATTAATATGATTACAGTGCTTATAGTAAAATTACAATATATAATAGTTTTCGGACAGGAAAAAAATCTCTGCATTATATAGGTTGGAAAACTGGGCTGGACAAGTTCTCAAAACAAGTTTAAGGCAGAGTAAGGATGTGACTCCAGTTCTCTACCATTCGGTTCACGGGTTTTTTTCTAACACTTGATGCTACCTCTCAAATATGGATTATTATATACTACCAAATGTAAAATGGATAGCTAGTGGGAAGCAGCTGCATAGCACAGGGAGATCAGCTCTGTGCTTTGTGTCCACCTAGAGGGGTGGGATGGAGACGCAAGAGGGAGGGGATATGGGGATATGTGTCTATGTATAGCTGATTCACTTATACAGCAGAAACTAACACATCATTGTAAAGCAATTATTCTCCAATAAAGATGTTAAAAAAAACAAACATGGATTATTACTCTTACCTTAAAATTTATGCCAGCTTTTACATTCATGTCTATACCCTCACAAGAAATTTAAACTAAAACTTTTCTGAGCAGATAGTCAGGCAGAATTTTCCTTTTTATGATAGATAATCCAGTATCATTCCCACTATACTTAGAACATAAAATGCAATAGACACGTTACTGTATTTTCCTTTCTTAAACATTTAAGCTGTTGTAGAGTCATATTTTCCATGAGTAAAGTTAGAAAAATTTAAGTTACAGCCAGTCCAAAAATATGCCTTGGTTCTGAAAAAGAAAAATCATGTCACACAATGGTAAATACAATATTGGATCAATTCAATTCATTTAAATCCATGTATTCTGGATGCCTCCCAAAATAAGCCTCTTAGTAATCTGTCTTCTCTGAGTTGTTCTTCAAAAAACTGATTGCTGCTTTGTGCTTTTCTCTAGATGGATATTTATGTATAATACATAGTTCAGTTTCCGTCATTATTTTTCTTAGGTTCTCAGCTAAATGTTCCAAATAACGTATTCATTATTAGGAAAACATTAAAATCGTTATATATTGGCTCCTCCCACCTCCCCAACTAGTTTAGTGGCTCATAAGTATGCTGGTTTAATACCTATTCACCAGTTCTCTTAACTTCCTAAGATGTCTGTCATCCTGATGTGCTTATTTGTGGATTTTCAAATGGGTCTCTGTCCCTGGTTGGATCGATAATTATTGTCACAGAGACATCTTTACTTCCTAATTGTCTGAGACATGTCAATATTTTCCCATCAAAGATGAATTTAAATGATGTAGCTCATTATCACTGCCATTTTAGTTTTCCAATTTTTAATTTTTCTGATTTACTAATGGGCACATCAAAATATATTTTCCTGAGTGTATATCATCCGTTTTCTATTCATAGCTAAGTGTTTGGACGAGCCCTAAGTGTTTGGAAAAGTCCTGTTTCCCTTAAAGAATTCCTTTTACTTTACAGGATGACTCACTATAAATCCCATTATTACCTAAGTGTCTAGACCCCTGGGAAGAAGATTGGCTTCAGAATCTGAGTTAGTTTCCAGGAGCAAATCTCCTGTCCCTGAAAAAGACAACTGATTGAAGCAGGCCTACTGGGCTGCACAGTCGTTCCCGGGAAAGCCTGATGGTCTGCAGCTTCATCCTAAACCTAACCCATAAGGTTAGGGTAGCATACTGGAAGACCAAAGTCCTGTTGCCCACTCTTCCTGTTAAAACATCAGATGTGTCACTTCAGTAAGTCACCTTAATCTTGTAGGTCTAAATTTGTTCGTCTGAGGACAAAGGAATTGAAAAACTAAATTATCTCTGAGTTTTAGTCAAGCTCTTGTAGGGTGGACACAGCATAGGATAATTGAAACAAGTACCAGAGTACACTCCACTTCTTAGAAGCAAGATTTGTTTTTTCTTGGTGACCCAGTGAGCTGTGTAATGGATGGCATTTCCATTTTTGCTTTTGCCATCTGGAAGTTAGCTCCAAATATGCAGCCTTTCTCTACAACTCCGTGGTATGCCTGCAGTTTGCATATTAACCTTTGCCTTGATTTTAACTGGCTCTACCCTTCGTTTCCATTCGACAGTGTCCTTACTGCTCTGTATCTTATTATGTTTTATGTGTCTCTGCCAGGCACTTCGGAATGAAGCGTGATAGAAATATATGTAAAGAAATAAGATAAAGAAAGAAAGAAAGAAAGAGGAAAGATGTTGGAGTCAGGTGTGCTGGATTCAGTCTGTCACTGACTAGCTTGTGACCTCAGATAAACCCTCCTGAGTTTCGGTTTCTTCACTGGCAATATGGGCAAATCCTTTCAAAGTTTCCGGAAGAATTAGGTGAGAAAACTTAGCTAAAGTGCCTGGTACAGAGGAAGCAAGCATCAAATATCAATTTCCCTTTTTTCCCCTTTCTTTCCCGCTGCCCAGTTTTACTGAGATATAACTGACAATCAAAAATTGTAAGCAATTATACTCCAATAAAGATGTTAAAAAAAAAACTTAAAAAAAAATTGTAAGGTGGGACTTCCCTGGTGGTCCAGTGGCAAAGAATCCGCCTTCCAATGCAGGGGACGCGGGTTCGATCCCTGGTCGGGGAACTAAGATCCCACATGCCGCAGAGCATCTAAGCCCGCGCACCACAACTACTGAGCTCGGGCGCCTCAACCAGAGAGTCTGCGTGCCGCAAACTACAGAGCCCTCGTGCTCTGGAACCCGGGCGCCACAACTACAGAGCCCACGCACCCTGGAGCCTGCACATCACAACTAGAGAGTAGCCTGTGAGCCGCAGCTAAGACCCAATGTGGCCAAAAATAAATAAATAAATAAAAAATAAAAAAATCTTTAAAAACAAATTGTAAGGTTTACAGCCTGATGGTCCGCTATACGTAGACACTGTGAAATATTAACCACTGCCAAGCCAATCAACATATCCATCACTTCACATCTTTGCTAGTTTCCATTTTTTTCTTTGTGGTGAGAACATCCAAGATCTAGCCTTTTAGCAAATTTCAGGTACACAATATAATACTGTCAACTATAGCCACACTGCTGTTCACTATCTCTCCAGAACTTATTATCTTCTTTTTGCCCTTTCTTGATTTAGCCCTGAAATGAATTAGCAAGTCCTAATCGACAGTTCTAAGTTCTGGGCAGGGTTCTCTGTGTCACCAGCATCTCCATTTCCTAGGATGGACACCGTCCATACCGGTCTGGATACAGTGAGAGTTCTAATTCCCTAAGTTCCAACTCTCTCCGTCTCTCTATGTCTGCTACTAGGAATTAAATTATAAGGGAGCCTGGGAGTTGAAAGGCACTGATTTCATACAATGCTTCCCGCAAACGAAACACCATTTGGTGGTCAAAATCAGGAATCAGGCATCAGGGGACCATTTCTGGTTCTTTGCTTCTGAGCTGGTCATCACACAGTATTCGAAATTCCCACATCAGTTATAAAATGGAGCTAAGTACATTTGCTGTCTATGAACCCTACAGGGATGTTTGATAGATTTGCAAATTGCTTTAGAGCTCGCAGGTGAAAGGTGCTATAAACTTAATTCACTTATGTGGGAAAACACACTCAGGATAAGGCACTCTGAGTAACCTAGTTTCTTTCTGAAGCGTAAGCAAACACCCTTGAGGCTCCTGGGAGGAGTTTCCTCTGTGAGTGGAGCTCTTGAATGCCTGTGGATGACAGTGCTATCATATTCACAATCAATATTTTCATCCATAAATAACAAGTATTAAGTGCCCACAAGGCGCTCTGCAAAGAAGCAAATGGCCACATATTTCCTAAGTCCAGTGGAAAAGGTTAATTTCATTTTTAAAAGAGATTTGAGAGAATACATTTATCTGATATCCTTTCCTTTTAAATCTTCAGAATAGAGAATCTGCAGACCTGAAAATCTTTTTCAACAAGTTTTAATTATGACACCCTTAATTCTTATGAATACGTCTAGTCGGTTCTGAAAAAATTATTTTTCATCACAGCCCCTCAATCAATATCTTTGCTTCTTTTCATAAAGAAATGCTCAGAAAACCCAAGGAGAGCATATAAATGCTAGGAGAATGAAGGCTTTGGGGGCAACCTGACAGGAAGGAGCCTTGCTTCTTTCTTACACTGGTATGATGTTCATGACCTCTCTGGAAGGAGGTCCCCAGTTTGCAAAAGACCAACTAACCAAACCGCTCATCTATGTAGGTTAAACAGAGATAGAAGATGTAGCAATTGGGATGCCCTCCTTTCCTGGGAGATGGGGGCGAACATTTGACATCTAAAAGTCACCAAAACTAAGCTAAAGAAACTCCCAATCCTATTAATTATGAGTAAATAAATAGATGAATTAATAAGGTACACCTCATTGGATGATTTCTTTCAGTTACATCCGAATTCAGTAAATAATTTTGATAATCTATCGTGTCCCAGATCCTGGGGTAGGTGCTAAGCAATTTCAAAGCGCTTGATGATTTCTCACCCAATGGGCAAGAATTTGCCAACAATTAAGACAAGCCTCAAGCTGCGCTGGGACGCCTGGAGATTTGGAGGGTTGAAGTAAGCACGTTCATGGGATGAAAACTCTTCCGTTGCAGGTTCTCCTGGAAAATTCCAGTTGCCGGTTGCCCTGATGAGTGATTCTGCTGAGAATCACTGACTTTTCTCTAAGGGACCTCCCTCTGGGACGTTAACCAGAGGGAAAAGCAGAGGATGCTGAGAGACACAAGCCTCGGCTCCTTCCGCTTAGGGACTGATTGGAACTTCATATATTTCACCATAAAGTGCATCTTCCAGAGGTGCGCTACCCAGAGGTTCACGGGCTGGAAAGCTCCCCCTTTACCTGTTCTGTAGCCGGTGCTGTTCAGATAGACAGCAAAAGTCCGCGGCTCGTGCACTGCCTGCCAGGGCGGCGAGGAGCAGTTCTCATTGTTGGTGTAGGTGTTGTGGTTGTGCACGTACTTGCCCGTGAGCATAGATGAGCGGGACGGGCAGCACATGGGCGTCGTCACGAAGGCGTTGGTGAAGGTGGCCCCCTCGCGCTCCATAATCTTTCTGGTTTTGTTCATGACTTGCAGGGACCCTGGAAGGCACAAGGCCAGCACTGTTAGAAGACAGCACCGCACGATCACCCACCCATGTCACGTCACTCAGGGGCTCTGTTCCCCCTGCCTTGTTGATTTCTCTGTCTTAGCCTGAAGGAGTCTATCATTTGACGAGCTCTCATTTCTAGAACAAAATGCAATGTTTGGGTTTCTGCCATCTCAAGTATCTTGCAGAATAAAAACACATTTCAGCTTCTCCCCTCCTTGATCACAAAGGAAAAAAAAAAAAAAAAGAAAAGCAGGTTTATCTGATCACTAAAGCTAGAATTTTAGAGACAGAGCAGATTCCAAGGCCAGCAGTCCTTTGAAGATTATCAGAGAGCATCAAAACAGAGCATCAAAACTCCTAGCCCACCATACTCGCACCATGCCACAGACACTGCAGAGATGACGAGATTGAATGTTTTCATCGTATGAAATAAAAGAGGGGAGAAATCTTCCAATTAAGTAAAAGTCCTTCCAAAATGCCTGTTTTTGTTTTTGTTTTTTAAACTGGGGTACAGTTGCTTTACAATGCTGTGCTAGTTTCTTCTGTACAACGAAGTGAATCGACTATATGTCTACATGTATCTCCTCCCTCTTGACCTCCCTCCCACCCCCCCACCCCCCCATCCCACCCATTTAGGTCACCACGGATCATTGAGTAGAGTTCCCTGTGCTGTATGGCAGGTTCCCACTAGCTATCGATTTGACACATGGTAGTGTATATATGTGGATCCGAATCTCCCAGTTCATCCCACCCCCCCCTTCCTCCCCTGTGTCCACACGTCTGTTTTCTATGTCTGTGTCTCTGTTTCTGTGCTGAAAATTGGTTCACGTGCACCATTTTTCTAGAGTCCACATATATGCGTTAATATACGATATTTGTTTTTCTCTTTCTGACTAACTTCACTCTGTATGACAGGCTCTAGGTCCCTCCATGTCTCTACAAATGACCCAGTTTCGTTCCTTTTTATGGCCGAATAATACCCCACTGTATATATGTGCCACATCTTCTTTATCCATTCATCTGTCGATGGACATTTAGGTTGCTTCCATGTCCTGGCTATTGTAAATACTGCTGCAATGAACATTGGGGTGCATGTGTCTTTTTGAATTATGGTTTTTCTCAGGGTATATGCCCAGTAGTGGGATTGCTGGATCATATGGTAGTTCTATTTTTAGTTTTTTAAGCAACCTCCATACTGTTCTCCATAGTGGCTGTATCAATTTACATTCCCACCGACAGTGCAAGAGGGTTCCCTTTTCTCCACACCCTCTCCAGCATTTATTTTTTGTAGATTTTTTTGATGACGACCATTCTGACAGGTGTGAGGTGATACCTCATTGTAGTTTTGGTTTGCAAAATGCCTGTGTTTAATTAAAAAAAGATCTTCAATGTAAGTTCGTATCCTCTAGCAAACTCACCACATACCTGCCAGTTTTTCTACCAGGATAGTACGACCAGTTTATATCTTCACCTGTTTCCATGTCATTTTAAAAGATGGGCTGTTTGTTTGTGAAAGAGCTATGATTCTATCACATTCAAAAGTATCTGCGTGGGCTTCCCTGGTGGTGCGGTGGTTGGGAGTCCGCCTGCCGGTGCAGGGGGCGCGGG